TCACGCTACAGTCAAAACGAATTAAGATAGGAAGATACAATTTTGCACAGAATTGTCTTTTGCCAGCAGGCAGGTCAAGTTCGAAGATGAGTTATACGATATAACAGTACCCCCTGATATACGATTTTTTGATGATATTAGCCACATTTTTCAATGGAATTGTCCCAAATTCTACACAAGGAGTTCTTTGTCAGTACTTTACACCCTGAAAGAGAATTGTTAATACAGGTCCACGATATCGTATTGCCCTCATATAACGGTACCCCCCGATATTCCGTATTTTAATGATTTTAGCAACATTTTTCAATGGAATTGTCTGAAAATTCTCACAAGAAGTTCCTTGTGTGTGCATTACCCCCTGGAAGAGAATTGTCTATATAGGTCCACGATATTGTATACACCCCCATATAACGGTACCCCATTATATTAGGCATTTTGATGATTTCAGCCAAATTTGTTAATGGAATTGTCTTAAAATCCAATCAAGGGGATCCTTCGGAGTACTTTACCTATATAGCGGTACTCCCAAATATTCGGTATTTTCATGATTTTTTTATACCATCCACCATAGTATGGAGGGTATATTAAGTTTGTCATTCCGTTTGTAATACCTCGAAATATAGCTTCCGAACGCTTCCGAACTCTAGCTTCCGAACGAATTGAAGTAGATTGATAAAATTTTGCGACGGATGTTTTTTTTTTTAATTTTCAAGTTTATTCCAAATGGTGGAGGGTATAAAAAGTTCGGCCGGCCGAACTTTGCTGCTTTTTTACTTGTTTTTCCTCTTACCATACTATGGAGGATATTAATAATTTTGTAACTCTTCGAGATTTTCATGTTAAGTATAAATTGTCTTGATCAGCGTAGAATTCTAAGTCGACTAAGCGATGTTCATCTGGCTGTCTGTTGTAATGAAGACTTTTTCCAAATGAATTGAGAATAAAGGCTAAAATTTTGCGTACCTGTGTATTTTGTCGGTCAACGTTTTCGAATAGCCCCCATGTAACTGTACCTCTAAATATTCGGTATTTTTATGATTTTAGAGACATTATCAACAGGAATCGTTTCAAGTTTGGTATTTAATGTTCGTAATGGGTACTTCAGCCCATGACAGTGTATGCAGGTTAACGTCTTCGCATAGCCATATATTCGATATCTCTTTATATTCGGTATTTTGATGATTTAAGCGACATTATTCACCCGAATTGTTTCACATTTCTTATTTGGTGTTCAGAATCGGTTCTACAGATTATGACAAAAAAATACTTATGCAGATCCGCATCATCGTATTTCCCCAATATACTTTTCGACGATTTATTTTTTCTAAATATTTTAAGGACCTTCCAAATAATGGAGGGTTTGGTCTTTACATATTACTAAAATTTTTAAACAAAGACAAAAATGTCCTCCGAAAATTTCTCATTTTTTGTTCTGTTTTTATACGATTCAAGTTTTTTTCTTTTTTGCAAAGAATAATAGAAAAATGTTTAAATTTTACGCTAAAAAGTCTTAAATATCTTTAATTTTGAAGTTTTTCGAGGAGGACATTAGTGAAACAATTGCACAATGGACCCACATCCAATTTGCCTGTCCAATAATATTTCAACGTATCCATATGCAAACCCACGAAACCGACAGTAACCTCAGTAGCAAAATTCAACTCTATCCCAGTAGTAAATTTAGTAATATTTAATACGCATATCCAAAACAATTCTCACCCCTCCTTCTTAGACACGAACAGTGATCCTAAATTAGTACCATTTACTTGTTCGAGCAATTATAGTACACAGTTCCAAAACTACACCCATATCTCGACACAAGATACCAAGAGAGATCTCAATTTCAAATCTTCAGATTCCAACTCCTTACATTCACTCAATATCAAATTTAGTAACATTTAGTACTTTTCGTAAAATTTTAGTACACGTTTCTAATACCACCTCTATACCTCAATCCCTCTCAATCACAGACACCAACAGTGACATCATTTCAACTTTAGGATTTCAGCTCTTTTATTTCCCCCATTACAAAATTTAATTCAATTTAGTACTTCTCGAACAACGCATTTTCAAACCCACTTCCATATCTGAACCACATACCCCAGTTGTGACATCTATATTAAATTTCAAAATTTCGGCTCTATTCTTTCACACAATACCAAATTAAGTACAATTTAATACTTTTCGTACAATTACAGTACCAGTACCACCTCCATATCTCAATCCCAGATACCAACAGTGACTTCAATTTCAAATTTCGTGGAGCCAGTCTTTTCTCTTCACCTAACACCAAATGTAGTACCATGCTTATACTTTTCGTATAATTAACAAAAAGGACATTTCCGAAATAACTTCCGTATATACAGGCTACACATGAACACCAATTTCAGACTACCAGCTCCATCGGTTCATCACAATTCCAATTTGTACCAAATTTAGTACCATTTAGTATACACACCCCAATCCTACACTCCCACCGTAATCCTATTTCCATTTTTTCGGAAGCCAGTTCTATTGGTTCACCCAAATCCAAATTGTACCTAATTTAGTAGCATTTAGTACACCTAAGTATTTATTTTCAAAATAACATAATAGAGTCCAATAGAAATATTTTTTTTAATTCCAGGATTCCAAATCAACTGATTCACTCGAATTTTCGATTGTACAAAATTTAGTACCATTTAGTACACATATGTACAATTTTCCAAAACAACATTCATACCTCAGTCATACAATGCAATAATAATCTTCTTAATAAATTTTCAAAATTCCACACTATCGGCTGACCCAAATTGAAATTGTACCAAATTTAGTACTGTTTAGTACTTTTCGTTCACATGAGTACACACTTCTAACTAGCTTCTTATATCGACTCTACGTCTAAACATTGAATCCCATTTCAAATGTCAAGTTTATAGCTCCAACCGTTCACATGAAAAAAATTGTACTAAATATAGTACATTTCAATACTTTTCGCACATTTATAGTGCGGAATACAAATATCATACACTCATCAGTGACTCTCATTCTAAATTTAAGAGTTCTAGCTCTACTGCACTCATACTCATGTCAGACCCAACAAAGTAATTATATTCTTGATCAGCGTAAACTTCTCGGTTTCGTAGTTGAAGTAGTACCCATTAGGTACTACAATATTGGGTATTTTGATGATTTTAGCGACATATTTTACCAGAATTGTTTCCAATGTAGAGTTTGAAGTTCGTAATGGTTATTACTTGTGAAGGAAAACGTTTTCGTATAGCCCCCATATAATGAAATCTCTCTATATTCGGTATTTTGATGATTTTAGCGGTATTGTTCACCAGAATTTTTTCAAATTTCGTAGATGAAGTTCGTAATGGCTTCTACAGCCTGTCACAAAAAAAAAAAAAATACTTATGAAGGAAAATGTCTTCGTAAGGGGTTTCATTTCAAAAGGTTTTTCTAACGGATTTCTTTTTTTATTTTTAAAGTCCTTTCAAAATGGTGGAAAGTATTAAAAGTTCGGCCCGGCCAAACATAGCAGCTTTTTTATACCCTCCAACATAGTATGGAGGATATATTAAGTTTTTCATTCCGTTTGTAACACCTCGAAATATACATTTTAGACCCCACAAAGTGTATATATTCTTGATCAACATAAAATTCTATGTCGATTTATCAATGTCCGTCCGTCTATCCGTCTGTGGAAATCACTCTAGCTTCCGAACGAAATGTAGTAGGTTGATAAAATTTTACTCAAAGGTGTATTATGTCTGCAGGACTTTTGGGTCATGTAGGTCCACGTCTTCGTATAGCCCCCATATAACGGTACCACCCGATATTCGGTATTCTACTGATTTTAGTGACATTATTTACCGGAATTGTTTCAAATTGTTGGTATTTGAAGTTCGTCATAGATACTACAGCATAAAACAGAAAATGGGCCATGCAGGTCCACTTCTTCGTATAGCCCCCATATAACGGTACCACCCGATATTCGGTATTCTAATGATTTTAGTGATATTATTTACCAGAATTGTTTCAAATTTGGTATTTGATGTTCGTAATGGATACTACAGCCTATGACAAAAAATTGTCTGTGCAGGTCCACGTTTTAGAACTCCCATGGTTACATTATAAACAGATTTTTTTCAAGATTCGCATTTGAATATTGTAATAGCTTGTCAAAAGTTGCCTAAGCAGGTCCACGTCGTCGTACAGACCCCAATATACGGCTACATTCGGTATTTTTAAGATTTCAACAGAATTTTTAAGGGTTTTATTTTTTTGAAAATTGCCAATTTTGTACCAAATGGTGGAGGGTATTCAAAGTTCGGCTCGGCCGAACTTACAGCTTTTTTACTTGTTACTTGTTTTTAAATATAAATATTCTTAAAAAATTCCCCATTAAAAACCCTTGAATCCTTCATGTAAATAATCTTAACCAAGCTATGTTGTGATTCAAAAAAATATTCTCTAAGGTTTGTGCCCATTCAAGGTCCTTCAAAAAATATTCTCATAATCTATTTTTAAAGTCTTTGCTCCATCAAATTTTGACAAATCATCCCAAAAGTTATCAGCTTAAAATCGACACCTCCAGAATTAAAACGCCAAAGTTGTTAACATTTGTCGCAATATATTTACATTTGGAGAGCTATTAACCTGGTGGAGCATAAAGTTATGGAATAAACACAGTGAGTGAGAGCGAGTAAATGTAACATTCTGTTTACATGTAAATAACGGTTAATGAGAGAGGACTTTTGCAACAGGACGACGACGACGACGACACGCATTCAATTTGTGTTTTGGGGAGTATTAAAGCACCACAAAATACTGGGAAATTTGGCTACACGTAGCCTAAAGGATTACGTCAATCGGAAAAACCGTTCAGTCGCCGACGAACCATTCATAGGAAATGTTGTGTGCTTAATAAAAATAATTAAGAAGATAGCAACTTTTTGAGAAAAAAAAAAAGAAAAAAGTAGCAACAGAATAGAAAAAGTAGAAACAAACAAAAGAAAAATACTTTAGTGATTAATTATTTAAAAAAGAAATAAATAATAGAAAATTATAAAAATAGTTACTTGAAAACGAAACATCATTAAATAAGAATAAGAGAATAATAAAAAAAATAAAGAAATTTGTGGTGTCCTGTTTTAATTTTAAAGTGCTTCGAAATTCCCCAAGTGTAAATATTTTTCAACAACACCAACAAAAATTCAAGAAAAAATAATAGGAGAATACTAAAACCAATGTTAAAAAATAAAAAAAACATTGTGAGAAAAAATATTAAAAAAACGAAAATAATAGAAATAGTTCTTTTTTGTGTTGTGTTATAAAATAAAGATTCGTGGTATGTTGTTGAGCCACCAAAAAAAAGAGAGAGAATTCTTTTATTTTGTGTGAGTTTTATTTTCCACGACGTTTTCCCTTTAGTGGTGAATGCTGCTGCCTGCTGGTGGTTTTGTTACTCCCCAGAAATGTGCTGAAGTGTGGCCAAGTGTTGAGTTGGGAGTGCGTGCCGCATGCCGCTGTGTGCGTGTGTGTATGTGTGTTAACTAACCTACATTTCCTTAACAAAACAAGGAGAGCCAACAAGAAATAAAAGAAACAGCAGCAGCATAGAAATGTCTTTGGTTTTTTTTTTCCTCCTGTAAATGTCGGTTATTCGGCTACTCTGATGATAAACTCTCTCTCACACACATTCCACGTCTCTCACTTACTTTCTCCATAATTATTTTTTTTTTTGGTGTTTTCGTTCTCTTCGGATGTGCGAGGCATAACTCTCACTTTCTCGTGTTGTACTCCAAAACAAAACCCACCCAAAACTCACACACAATTGGATTATTTTGAGAAGCCCCAACAACAACAAAATCAAATGTTAAGAAAGAAATGGGCTAAAGCAATGGTGACGACAAAAGCCGAAGTTTGAAACAGTGACTTTAATATTTGAATGTAAGGTTTAAATTATTTGCCGCTGAAAATCACCGATTTTTGGTTTTCCATATCATATCCAAATGTCTCTCTGGCTGGCTGGGTTGAACGATAATAATAATATAATAATAATATTTTTACAAAGCCTAGATCTATTTCAAAGAATGACAATATCGCTAAACTCGCTTAGGTACCTTCTCCACAAATGTTGTATCAAAAAGCTCGTGTATACACACATCTACATAGTGGTAAGGGTCATATGTCTTTGTGCATTTATTTGTATCATCGAGAAGGAAGCGGGATAAGCCAATAGTTACTTTTGAGGATCATGGAATCACTTTCGGAAACGATTTATGCATGTCAGTCCGTCCATGTATTTTTGTGAACAAAATACAGGTCATCATTTATTATCAGATTGATATGAAATTTTCCAAACAATATTTGTTTGGACCATGAAATTGTCGAGAATCGGTTCTTACATATATATCTTCAACCGATGTCGGGTTAATTGTGCACCAAATGGCTAATATCAGCCCAAATGAATTGAATTATGGCAATTCCTACTGAATACATTCGACCAATAAGTTCTTCAAATTTAGTGAAAATCGGTTCAGATATAGCTATAGCTCCCATATACATGTTTCACCTGATTTGGCGTTTTAGTCCCTCACATTGGTAATATATATTCGATAATAGTGATATTTGGAACCAGGTATCAGATACCGCCCAGAAATACCTCTGCCAATATTTATCAAGATCGGTTCAGACTTCAACCGTTTTCGGGTTAGTTGTGCACCAAATGGTCAATATCTGTTCAAATGACCTGAATTTTGACACATCCGACAGAATTCAGTTTAGAAGAAAGTACATCAAAATTTGTGAAAATATAGCTATAGCTCCCATATACATGTTTAATCCGATGTGAAATTGTAAGTCCCTTACATGAGTAATATGCACTTCACAAGAATGATATTTGATAACAGAACTAATAGAGCTCAAAAAGAACTCCGTCAAGTTTTATCGAGATCGGATCAGATTAGGATATAGCTCCCATATATATCTTTATCCGATTTTAGGTTTTTTTTTGTGCACCAAAGGTCTAATATCAGCCCAAATGGATGAATTTTGGCACTTCCGACGGTCACTGCAAAAAATATAGCTCGAATATACCTCGATGTACATCTTCTTCCGATTTACGGTTACTACTCACCATATATGTTATATTATCCCAGATTGGATAGATATTTTCATATCCCGTTCCGGTCCGGTATATTATAATAAATATTTTTATACCCTCAGCCATATGGCTAGAGAGGGTATATATAATTTGATATGTGCCTAGTCGAAATAATGGTTTTTAGACCCTAGGTCTCTTTGGAACAAATCCGTTTCAGGACATTTGGAGTCGATCTAGTGCTGTCCGTCCGTCTGTCTGTCTGGCTGTTGCGAACGATAACTCTCGAAGGGACTATCCGATTTGGTCCAAACTTGGTACATTTTAATGTTATTGTCAAACTTATATCGAGTTCGGAGATGGGCAGTATCGGTCCACACCTCCACAAAAGATCGAAGTTTTCAAAAAAATATTTTACTGCACAAAAAATAAAGGATGATTCGATTTTGCTCGAACTTTGCAAATCCTAATAACAAAAGTCAGGTGTGAAAATGGGCAATGGACTCCATCAAGTACTTATAAAATGTGAAGTAAGAGTCCAATTGTTTTCAAATTACACACATCATAGTATTATTATTAACCTAAGGTCTGGTGTGAATATGGAATATATCGGTTCAATCCTCCTGGTACCTCCCCTACAAAAGGCTCAACATTTTGACTATCCATGAAGACCTTAAAACGCGAAATTAACATCAAATTCCATTTGGACTTGGTACATCTCAGTACTTCTATCAACACAAGATCGGTTATAAAGATAGTAGAGATCGGACCATTTCTTCCGGTACCTACCCCACAAAATTGTCAACATCTTCAAGGAAATCAATTTACTCCACATAAAGAGGAAGGAAAATCCGATTTTGCCCCAACTTTGCGAATCGTAATATTTGCATCAGCGCTAGGTCAGGTCCTAAAATGGATCACACCTCTCCGCTCCATCAAGTACCTCCCCCAGAAATGGTCAAAATATTGAATAAGTATAGCTCTTATAAAATATGATGTAATTAACCGATTGGCTTCAAATTACACAAGTCACGATATTTTTATTTAGCCAAAGTGTGGTGTGAAGATGGAATTAATCGGTCCGCTCCTTGTGGTACCATCCCCTCAAAGGGTCAACATTTTGAATATCCATGAAGCTCATAAAACACGAAATTAACATCTGATGCCACTCAGACTTGGCACATCTCAATATTTCCATCAAGACAAGATCTATTATAAAGATGGTAGAGATAGGGCCATTTTTGCTGTTGCCTCCCCCCACAAAGGTTTAAAGTTTTTAATAACCAAAACTATCATAAAATCCGCAATAAGCATCCGGTTCTCTTCATATTTCACACATCCCATTATTTCTACTAACACAAGATCTGCAGTGAAGATGGATGATATCGGTTCAATCCTTCTGGTACCTCCCCCACAAGGGGTCAAAATTTTGAATGTCCACATCTCAATATTGCCATAAACACAATATTTGGTATAAAGATGGTACAGATCGGACCATTTCTTCTGTTACCTCCATAGGGTACATGATTTTTGAAAAATAAAACGCTCAAAGGAAACAAAATAAGCATCCAACTCTCTTCAAATTTCACACAACCAAAAATTTTGTGCTAACGCATCTGTTGTTAAGATATCTGCCAACCAGTTCTGGTTCCCCACCCACAAAGGGACACCATTTCCACTACTTAGATCTGTCATAGCTTGCGAATATTTCCACATTTTCCAAAAATTTGCACATACCTCACATAAAGTATGGTAAGTAGTCGATATAGTCCAAATCTGGCACGTTGTTATCAGTTTTAGGCCAGATACAAATTGGTCAATATTGGCCAACTGCTTCGGAACCTCCCCCGTTACAAGAGCTAGAATAAGCATAACTCAAGGCTGGGGATATAAATCTTTCGGCAAAGCCGATTGATACTATTTAACTTGTTTAATATTATCCAAAGTCATATCATGTACTATTCAGCAATGTCATACGGTTCATAGTTGGTATGATCTACTTCACATAAATTCCCCATATAAACTTATTTGTTATGTGAGCTCTACTAAATACACATAGTGGTGTAGGGTATGATGTAGTTGGTCTTTTAACCTTTCCTTGTTGTTTTTTTTTTTAATTTACTTCTCTACGCACCACTGTGCATTGGCGCATATCTATGCGTATATATTTATAACAAAACTACATACATATATATTACATGCCATCACAGCCTGCGGGATAACTATTCAGTGCGAGTCGACATTTTCTAGTTGTTGCTGGCAACCAGCCTAGTGAGACCAAAGCGACGGTAGTTGGAATTTACAAAAACAAAACAACAAAAAAAAAAGGAACACACAGAAGAATGTAAATGTTACGCCAAGTCCTTTGCTCAGTCAGTCAGTGTGTCACAAGAGAGTAATTTTTGCAACGAGAGAGAGAGAGAGGAAGAGAAAAAAATGAAAATTCCCCCCAAAAGAGAGCAGGTGTTGAGAGCATCGCAAGCAACACTGGCTGGCTTGGTCGTTTGCTCGCTCGCTCAATGGCTATGGGTGCGTTTTGTTTTGAACTTTTCTTATTCACAAAGTATCCTTTCTTGCATACGGTTGGTTCCACTCTTTGGCGTATCCAAATGCGTGCTAGCGTGCGTGTTGTACATATATGTTTATATATATATATGGCTGGATGTATGTGTGTGAGTGTGTGCAAATGTCAATATGTGTGGAGTGCATGTGTGAGTGTTTGCATGAAATAATAAAAAAAAAGAATGAAAACAAATTAAAGAAATAAAATAAAAGCGCGTGTTTGAAAGTAAGTTTTCCCTTTTCATTTGTATTTTTGTGCGGTGGAATGAGATGAGAGTGAGAGTTTTTTCATGGAGTAAAACTGAGTACATTGTTGGAGGTTTCTGGTACAAGTGAGTCTTGCTTGCTGCTACTGCTGCTGGTGATGATGATAGATGCATTTGTGTTGCCATTTTAATCGCCAAGATTCCAAAGAAGTTGTGGTTCATGTTCGGGCAAGACACAATGGGATGCAAGCGCGTTAATATTTATTTAATGCAATTTATGTTGTGGTGATTTTTGGTGTGAATGTTTGTGCTGGTGGTGATTAGTGTGAGGGGTACTCAAAATTTTGTGAAAAAAATGAGAGTTATAAAAATTATAATTTTTTAATTGTTATTTGGGTGTGAGTGATTTTTTTTTCTTTATTAAAAAAAATTAATAATATTTTAATAAATTCCTAAATATTTCTTCTAAATATTTTCTTGCAGAAATTTATATACCTGTGTAAATGTGAAAAGAATCTCCATACTAATTCATAATCATAAATATAGATAATTAAAAATAAGAACGAAAATATATAAAAAGTTGAAAAAATAGAATCATATTTGAAACAAATAAGAAAAAGTAACCATAAATAAGTCTTAGATCTTCTGAAGCAAACAGTGACAAAAGCCCCAACCACGAAAAGGACTTTCTCTTCCAAACCACAATAACCGAAAAAAAACAAAGTGTTAAAAAATATAATTAAAAAATAAATTAGAAATTGTGGTTACAAAAAAAAAAATAAATAAATAAAATAAAACAAATAAATAAAAAATAATTATTAAAAATATCCCACAGGCAAACCAAAAAAAATTAAAACTCAATGAAATATTGCCAACTACCACGACACGATTTAGAAAAATTACCTACCCCATAAATACACAAAGTGCATGTGAAGTGAAATAAAAATAATGAAATAAAACTAATTCTAACAAAAAATCAAAAAATGGCGAGTCAGAAATACTAAAACCATTAAAATGAATAATTAATATTAAATATAATTAAAAAAGGAAAATATATCTAAAAAAATTCCCTTAAAGTGACCCCCCTACAAAAACAAGGCAACAAAAAAGGATAAATAAAAACTTTAATAAAAAATTATTAACAAAGTGAAAAAAAAACAACAAAAACACATTACAAACTTAGCCAAGTTCTATCCCAACTACATACTTTGGATTACAACAAATGTATAAAGTTCCAACAAAAGCAGCCGTAACAGCACCAACAACAACAACAACACGGAGAGCAGCACCAACATGTCCATGCTAGTAGAAGGTAAGCGCAAAGTTTAATTTTCTTGTTTATCCAACTTAAATTAGAAATGAAAAATATTAAGTCAACATGACTAAACTCCAACTAAATTGAGATGAGATGATGATGATGACGACGACGACGATGATGGAAATTCCTAGAAAGTTGAAGAAAAGGCAAAAGTTAAGTCAAACTTTAATATGGCATGTTATGCATATTTAAGTTGATTTTATTTTGTTTTTTTTTGCCATAGTCTAATATAGTTAGGAAGGAAGTAAGAAATTCCGCAAAAAGTCAAGTGGAATGGTCATAACATGGCTTCCACTGCTGCTACAGGTATCAAATTAAAGGAGAGCTAGGAAGAATGGCTAATTTTTCCACCCACCGGAAATTTGAAATGCCAAAGTTCAGGAAATGCTGTTGAAAAATTAGATAGCCAATGGCAAAATGGGGACTCACAACAGTTTTTGAAACAGGTCTTTTCCAAGGTCAAAATTGGAAAAATGCCGAAAACTTTCAACCTGTATTATTTAATAGCTGACTACAGAATACCGACGGCTCTATTTATAAATTGGCATTGGCAGCTTGGGAAACAAAGTTTTGTATTGCCACAATTCGGAAGACAAACTTTTCTTCAATTTTCTATTTAATCCTGAAATTTCAATTAACTGAACATTTCTTAAACATCAAGAAAGTCGGCAAAGAAATATTCTTAGTATATCTGAAATGTTTGACTGGAGTCATTTTAAAATGCATGGTCAGAATGGCATATTTCAACAAGCTTCAAGATTTCTTATCAGAAGAGCTTAAAATATCCTAAAAAGATCCATGATTTCTATGTTTTCTGTTTCTTATAAAACAGTTTTTCATGTTTATTAGTTATTGAATTATAGTTTTAATAATGTTTTTCTCAATATTTTTTTTTTTTTTTTGAGATATGTTGTTAAAACACTCGCCTCTCTGGACTAAGAACATTTTGTCGAGTTTCTAATTCCCGATATAAGGCCTGATTTTTTTAATGTTCCTAAAAGATATTAAGATATATTCAAAGTGTATCAGGTTTATTACAATGTGCAAAAAATGGACCAGATTTAAGACTACGATTTGAAATTTTGTAGACCAAGGTTTTTTTTTCCAAAATAGAAGGGTAATTGAAATAATGTTTGCATCTTCTGTTTTTTTCTACCAATCTAATATAAGTCAAGGAGTTACATATTTTTTACTTGGAGTTTCACATAAAAAAACAAGTAAGCAAAGGCTATAGTCATGCGGGGCCGACTATGTAATACCCTACAACACTACAATATGTTAGAAGCCCCCTTATGTCCAAATCCATATTGGAATTTGAAATTAGGTTTTGACTAGGGACATTTGCCCAATATTTATGCACTCCGTCGTGCTGTTAGTTGGAATAGAATTCTTCCCTGTCCTTAACTCTCTTCACAGGCGTGTCGATTGGCTTCAATTGTGTAATCGGAAAAACATTTCTGTTTAGGGTAATCTGAACCCCTCTGTGAAGCCCCTCTGTATCCCCAAATTTAGACTCATCTATATGAATTGCTTCTCTACGATATTTGGCTATATTTGTCAACGAAATCAGCATAACAAAGCCAGAAGATCGCCTTTTGTGTATTTCAGATATCGCCTGTAAGTAATGCTGGTATTTTTTCACACTGAATTAGTGGTCCATTGTACTCGCTGTCCTAAACTCTAACTTTATGCGAGATTCCGTGTTATCTGGTTTCTATTTGTGACCTTTATGACGGCTGCAAAATCAGGAAAATTTTTAGTTGCTGGTCCATTTTAACCCCTAATATTTTGTGGACATATTTAAAAACAATAGGGCTAGCCCTTCTGAGCCCAACCCTATCCTTGTGAAAATTTTCGTGAGGATCGGACGATATTTGCAAAACTTATATAATATCCCCAACCTGTGTTGTAAGGTGAAAAATATTACAAAATATAGGAATAGGAATTGACAAAATTTGTCAAAATCTGTCCAGCCATTCTTGAGATATAATCATTCTAATTATCATCCTCTTCCTTTGTATATACACATTGTATATATTTTGCTGTATATATCCGATATATTTACTATCGGCATCTACGTAACGGTCAGAATTGACCTGTTCGTCTATTTCTTATTTCGTCGGGATTAAAAATATTCGCGGTTTTATCGAAAATTTGACTTTTATTTAACACAAATATTATGGTCTATTTCACCCACTAAATATTACCCGATGACCACCAAAATTGGAAGGCTTCTGCCCAGCCCTAAACTCCAGCTCCATGCTAACTTCCGCTTTGATTGGTTATAATTGCGACCTGTAGAGCAACTGCAAAATCACGAATTTTTTCAGTTTTTGATCCATTTCAGCCCCTAAATATTATGCGATCATCTCCAAAAGAAATAGGGTTCTATTCTGACACTAGCCCCACCTTCATTCCAAATTTCGAAGATCGGGCCATAACTGCGACCTGTAGAGTGATTACAAATTAACATGGACAGACGGACGGACGGACATACATAGCTAGATCGACTCAGCTCGGCGAGATAGGAAGATCCATATATACTTTCCTATGTGGGAAACCAATATTTCGAGGTGTTACATAATTTTTGGCCCAATCAAACTTATAATACCCCCAACACATAGTGTTGTAGGGTATAACAACGGTGACAAATTTCAGAATTCCATCTCTATTTGTGGTATTTTGCACATACGTTCATAGTTGCAGTTCCAAAACCATCTCCTTATCTCAACTGTAGACACCAACAGTGACATCCTTATTAAATTTCAGGAATTCAGCTCTATCCCTTCACCTAATACCAAATTTGGTATCAATTAGTGCTTTTCGTACAAATATAGTACACATTTCCAAAACCACCTCCATATCTTAACCACGGATACCAACAGAGACCTCAATATCAAATTTGAGGATTACAGACCTATCCCTTCAACCAATACCTAATTTAGGACCATTTTGTACTTTTCGTACAAATATTGGCCGCATTTCCAAACCACTGCCAAATATCAATTAGTAATCTAAGTATCAAATTTTAGAATTTATAGCTTCACCTAAAATCAAATAAAGTACTATTCGGTATTTTTGGTTGAATTTCAGGAAAATCCATTGAAAAATGTGGCTAAAATCATCAAAATATCGAATATCGGGGAGTACCGTATATACACATCTTCGAACTTGACCTGTCTGCACAGAAAATATTGATCTGTGCGAAATTTTAGCGTCCTACCTTAGTTAGTTTCGAATCCAACACCTGTAAAAGATATTCCAGTGACAGCTCATTATATTGTTTACAAGCGTACAAAAGTATTTTCGAGAGAATTTTTCAGAAAAAAGTTATTCGTGATGGATTTTAAGTGTGGCTGGAAAACCACAAGTGGCTATCGTTAGAGAACTCCAGCATTTAAATGTGAATAAATCTTTTGTGTTTCGTACCATCGCTTCCGTGATACTGGTAGCGTAGCCCGACATCAAGGAAGTGGACGGAAGAAAACAGCAACATCAGCAGAAATGGTTCGAAAAGCAAAGAAGCGACTTGATCGAAATCCGCGTCGCAGTGGCCGAAAAATGGCTCGTGAGCTGAACATATCGCAATATTCCATTCGACAAATATTAAAAAATTAACTCGGGGTAAATCCATTGAAATTCCAAAAAGTGCAAGAACTTACACCGCAACTGAAAGAAAATAGACTCAAAATATATGAAGAGTTGCTTCGCTTGGCCGAAAGTGGTCATTTGGATTTCTCCGATAAGAAAACATTCGTTGTCCAAACAAAATGATCGTGTTTTCTTGCCAAAGAGGTCAACTGAAAATGTGCACCTTCGGTTGGCCACCAGAACTCATCCGCCGGCCATGGTGATGGTGGGGGCCGCCATAACAGCCGATGGTCCTCTCCGCTCGTATTAATCGACGGTGGCATCAGAATAAATGCCTTAAAACATTGGCCAGGCACACATTTTGGCCGCAGACCTTGGACATTCCAACAGGACTCAGCACCATAACACTCAGCACACGCCACTCAAGAATGGTTACAAAATGAGGTTCATCACTTCATTTCCAGGGCCCAATGGCCACCAAAATCTCCGGTGTTGGTCTGGAATATTTTGGAAAGCAAGGTTGGCAAAATACCAAAGTGCCGATCACCTCAAGCAAGCGCTTCGCCGGGAATGGGCCAAAATACCGTAGATCAACATTCGGGCAGCGTGTGACGGTTTCGTTGGCCGTTTGAAGTTCATAATTCGTGTCAAAAGTGATCAATTCAAACAAATCTAAACCTATTCTAAAATTTGATGCTATTTCCGACATTTTTTTGCTTTCATTCAATAATATTAAAAAAAATGTAAAAATTATGGCGTTTGACTTTGTTGCAGTTTTTTTATCTCACCATGTATATCCAATTTTATGCGAAATCATAAAATTATATTCATCTCAGTTTTCTGGTTGAGATAAATATTAGGATATAGCAAGTTGTAAAGAATCGCTGACTTGTTTCGCCAGATATGCCAGATAAAAGTATTGAAAATTGTGACCCATTGTAGGTGAGGTACCAGAGGTGTTTCGCAGACAAGAGGTCTTGTTTGAATGTGTGAAATTTGAAGAAAATTAGATGCTTATTTTGCTATCATTGAGCATTTTGTTTTTCAAGTACCAGAAAAGATGGTCTTATCTTTACCATATTTAGAACAGATCTTGCGTAGATGAAAATATTGAAATGTACCTAGTCTGAATGGAATCGCGTTTTATGAGCTTCATGGATGTTCAAAATTTTGACCTTTTGTGGGGGAATTAGTAGAAGTATTGAACCGATATATCCCATCTTCACAGCACATCTAGTGCTAGCAGAAATAATGGTATGTGTGAAATATAAAGAGAACAGGGTGATTGTTTCGGATATTATAATCGTTTTGGCTATTCAAAACGTTGACCCTGTGTGGGGGAGGTGCCAGAAAAAGTGGTCATATCTCTACCATCTTTATAACCGATATTGTGTGGATGGAAA